TAATTTTTATTACTTTTAATATAAAAATCGTACTGTAATATTTAAAATAAGATATCCTAGAACCTAATGAGTAAATGACTAGACGTTACAAAAAACAAAAACTTTAAAAATGTTTGTTGGTTGGGTAAGGAAAAAGGACAACACAACCTAATCTGTTTAGGACAATATTATTCTTCCTTTGTCCGCTTTGATGAGTGGGATGTATTTCTTCCACATTCATATATGGTTATACCTTTATTTTAATTATGATTCTAGAAACATGAAAGGGAAAGATAAAGACTGAAATACTGAATCCTTAACTATTCAGATGAAAGAAAAATAAAAAATTAAGATCTTCTAGTATTTAAAATATTATGATTGTTTATAAAATCAATTAAATGTTTTTAATTTTTTTATATTAATTCATTAAAAAGATTTAAATAATTTTATAAAAAAATTTAGATATTTTAATTATCAAAACTTCTTAATTTTTTTACAATTTTCTTAGATACACGTGGGAGAAAAGTCTCACTGTGGATTTTAGATTGGAAGGAGAATTGAATTGTAAATAATTATCAATGAGCCACTAACAAATTTCGTGGACAGTTCGTTTAGCTAATTTGATCAGGTATTTAAATCCTAACCTTGATCCTAAGATTAAGAGGGCAGCTGAGGTCTTGTTTCTACTCTGTGCTATAACATTGATAAGGAGTTTAAAGATTGTCTAAATTAGTTAAATAATTTAGTGATAATTTTTTTTTATAAAAATAAAAGATTTTAAATTTAACTTGTATGACATGCAAATAAAATAAATTAAGAGATAAAAAATAATTGATTTTCAATCCAAAATTAAAATTAAAAAAAAAAGTCGAAGGGAGAAAATTCTTTACCAAATTTAATGAGTGGGATTTGCTTGACTTTTTATTTTTTTATTTTTATTAAAAAAAAAAAAAGTAGGTAGTTAAATTCATAGCCCAATGATAAACCCATTTAGGCCTATGTTCTAAATTTGATAGCCCTTCTCCGGGCTCATCAGCCCAACCTATGGCGGCCATCCAGAGTTCTGCATCTCTACGCAAGGCAGGAAAGTTTCTCGGCCTACTGTTCGTTCATACCCATTGGGCCTGTAAAGCGTGGGTCCAAATCAACAATAAAAGATAAATAGTAACAATAATAACAAAACAAGTAAATTATTAGGGCTTTGATATGGGAGTATTTTTCTAGGGTACAAGTTCCACAGCATGAAGCAACTGTTTAATATTTGTTTATTTATTTATCTTACATTATAAAGAAAAATTTACCTTGTATATTATAGGAATTCAAAACTTCTTATTTGTTGGAATATGCCCAATATTCAACTTGGGCTGTACATAATGGGCCTAGGCCAGTCCCCATTAGCCCAAAAGGATGGAGCATTGGTACAGCAAGTACAAACATACCCACGTAGACAACGCCACGTGGGCCAATCATATGCTTACATGTACCAATGCATGTCAGCACTTAGGGCTATAAATACCTCCCAACTACCTCCAGTGAAGGTAATTAATCTCTACGCTTCTCTCTCTGGAATTACTCATTGAAAGCATCTCTCTCTAGAATATCAAGTATTGCTGACTTGAGCGTCGGAGTGTTTTCCCGGAGGAAACATCCTCGGGATTTTCAGGTGTAGAAGCAATTAAGGACTTCAACAGTGTTGGACTATGAAGCTACCTAAACATTTGGCATCGTCTGTGGGAACTTGAACAAGAAGTTGTGTAGTTTAACCGGCAGAAAGACAAAATGGTTCGTACCTTTACTGAAAGTTGCCCTCCAAGAAACGAAATGGACGAACAGAAGGACACTCAACTGTCTGAGCCCGGTCTGAATGATTTTAGGCCAATGTCAAGAAACCTATTCGTTGGAGGAGCAGAACAGGATCAGCTAAATGAAACAAATGATGATGAGAGAACACCAATTGGGTATACAACCCAGCCTGAACAATTCCAAATCCCAACAGGAACAAGGCAAAGACATCCCAGACCAGGCAATTCACAACAAGAACGACCTGAGAGATAAACAGAGCCTGCTCGGACAAACGAGCTTGAAGAGAGAACCAGGATTCTTGAAATGGCAATGGGTAAAATCCTTGCCCGCTTGATCCCTGACGACCCCCTGATTCCTTTGCTGAATAGGGATGCACAGCCAGCTGCTGTTGTTGCAACTCGAATCTCCCCCGCTCTGAGCAATATAATAGTACCGACCAAACCAAGGGGAAGTGGGAAGTTAAATAACGAGCCTAGCTCGTCCAAGCACAGTGAGGATCTGATGAGGAAGAATGCAGACCTTGAAAGGCAGCTACGAGATGTATAGAAATCCATTGACGAGCTGAAGAGTCCTAGGTCGCACCAACAGACCCTAGATTTGGATAGTGCGCCGCTAAACCTATCCATCACAGCAGAACCATACCAAGAGGGATTCAAAATCCCTCACCTAGAGACGTATGATGGCTCGGGTGACCTAGATGAACATCTGCACACCTATCAGGCCATCATGAAAATCCAAAATGCCAACGATGCCATGATGTGCAAAGTGTTCCCAACGACACTGAAGTCAACGGCTAGAAGATGCTATCATAAACTCCCCAAACACTCTATAGACTCTTACTCCCAGCTCACCAAGCTATTCTCCAATAAATTTGCGAGCCAAAGGGAGATTAAACGCACAGCGACCGAGTTGATGCAAGTTCATCAGAAAGAAAGGGAATCTTTGAGGGACTACATGCAACGATTCAACAAGGCAACTTTAGATATTGATAACATCCCTGATACCATCTGCTTGTCTGCCTTGCTGCATGGCTTGAAGCGTGGTCGGTTCCTGGATGACTTGCTAGAAAACCCACCAAAGACGTGGAACGAAGTGAATGACAGGTCAGCTAGCTTGATACTGTCAGAAGACTTCCAGTCGTCAAAGCGACGAGCTGATGATAAGCAGGGCAAAAGCCATGAACCACCACCGAGGAGAGAAGAAAAGAAAAAGCAGAAAGTCAATGAGCAATGGGGGAAGCCAGCTGACTTTCCAAAGTATGCCAACTACATTCTGTTAACCTTGCCAAGGTCTCAAATCCTAGCACAAATTCAACACTGGGTTAGAAGACCCCCACCCCCACTACATGATTCCCTAAGGGCAGACAAGAGCAAGCATTGTGACTACCATCGTACTTATGGTCACAATACAGAAGACTGCCAACATTTGAAGGACGAGCTAGAGTTCTTAGCTCGCAATGGAAAATTAAAAGGATATGTGCAGAAGCCTTATACCCAGCAACCATCTCAAACTCACTTTGTGCAAGGATATGACCGACCTCAGGGACAGAGGTATCAACTTGGCAGCACACAGGATATGTATAAGGACAATCAATATCCTTCTGAGCAGGGCAGAGCGTACAGGGGACGTCAATTCAATAGGCGAGGCCAAGGACAGAAAACTGCCACCTAGAACCAAAAAGATAGGTGTAATACCCCAAAATTTTGTGCTATTTTAGCATTTAAGTAAGGGTTTTTGTGTGAGAAAAATATTGTTTTGGGCTTAATAGCCGAAATGTCCAAAGTTGAGGGACTTAAAGAGGGAAAGATTTTGGATAAGGATGACTTCTTTTCTTTTTCTTTTTCTTTCTTTCTTTTCTTCCCAGCCATTCCCGATTCTGCTCTTCTTCTTCCTGCTGCAGCCACCTGAGGAAAAAAAAGGGGGAACCCAGCCATGCCTTTGAGAAACCGGTAAAGCTTGATGATTTTCCCTTATTTTCTTGTCCAAGAACCTGATTTAGAACCCAAAAATCTCTCCCTCTCTGCAGAAACCCAGATCTGGTCGATTCTCCCCTCCCCTCCCCTGTCCGTGAGCTGCAGCTTGTGGGTGGGTGATTTCTAGGCATGTTTTCGGTAAGAACAACCCCTAATCCCTTTGTTCTTGCTTGAAGTGGCTTGGGTTTACTTTAATTGCTCTTGTTCCTCCAATTTTTGAGGTAGGCCGTGAGCTTCTTCTCCAAATTGCCGCCGGCTTCTCTTCCCCCTACAGCTCCGATTTTAGCTGGAGAATTATGGTATGTGACAGCCATTTAAGGCTTAAATTGTCCATTTAGTTTGCTGCCTTGTGTGTCCGTGAATTGCTAGGAAATGGGGGATAATTCCGATAGCTTTAGGACCATGATTAAGCACTAATTCAAGTGGGATTTATGTGATTGAGTGTTAATTGCTTGTTGTGATTTTTGGAGTGAAATCCCGTGAGATTAGTTAGTGTTTTGGCCAATTTGTGGGAGTGGAGTTACTGTTCACGTCGGGGTCACTGTTCACCGGCACTGTTCACCGGTTACTGTTCACACCCCGAGGGCCAACATTTAA